GGTGATAGGTGGAGGAGATGGATTCACTTTTGCATTTCCAGTGCTCGGTTTTCGATTCTTGTTAATGGTGCTCCTTCCGGTTTTTTCTCTAGCTCAAGGGGCTTGAGACAAGGGGATCCTCTCTCTCCCTTCTTGTTCTTGTTTGTGATGGAGGCCCTTAGTAGATTGATGAGAAAGGCTTCAGATTTGGGTTTTTTGAGGGGCTTCCGGGTGGGCAGGGATGTTGCTTCTCAGTTGGAGATCTCTCATTTGATGTTTGCTGATGATACTTTAGTTCTTTGTGATGCGAATGTGTCCCAGATTAGATATTTGAGATGTGTTTTGATTTGGTTTCAAGTTGTCTCCGGCCTTAAGGTGAATGTGGGCAAGAGTGTTTTGGTGCCGGTTGGGGAGGTCCCTGAGATTGAGATGTTTGCTGACATTCTTGGTTGTAGGACTGGGTCATTTCCCATTTCTTACTTAGGTTTGCCTCTGGGTGCTCCTTCGAGATGTGTAGGAATTTGGGACCCAGTGGTGGACAGATTTGAAAGAAGGCTAGCGGGTTGGAAGAAGCAGTATCTTTCCATGGGCGGTAGGGTCACTCTGATTAAGAGCACCCTCTCTTGCCTCCCCACTTACTTTATCTCTCTTTTTCAAATTCCCTCTTCAGTTGCGGAGAGGATTGAGAGATTGCAGCGTAATTTTCTTTGGGGAGGTAGAGCTGATGAGTTTAAGTTCCATTTGGTGCGATGGGATCAGGTTTGCAGGCCTATTCGAAATGGTGGGTTGGGTCTCCGTAGATTGGTGCCATTTAATAAGGCCCTTCTCGGGAAATGGTTGTGGAGATTTGGTGTGGAGAGACATTGGCTTTGGAGGAGGGTTGTGGCGTGTCGTTTTGGGGAATTGAGAGGAGGGTGGAGTTCCTTGAAAGTGCGGGATCCTCGGGGGGTAGGGGTCTGGAAAGTGATTCGGAAGGGTTGGGATGAATTCTCTAAACACATTCGATTTCGTCTTAGAGATGGGAGGAGGATTTGCTTCTGGGAGGATGTGTGGTGTGGAGATGTTCCTCTCGCTCTCGCTTTTCCTCAGCTCTACAGGATTGCTTCGGATAGGCAGGCCATGGTGGTCAACTGTTATCATCTTGATAATGGGAGACTGGTTTGGGATGTTCGATTCAGGCGTCACTTTCAGGATTGGGAGATCGAGGAGGTCATTCGCTTCTTGGAGCTGCTTTATCGCCAAAGGATTGTGGAGGAGGATTCGGACTGTTGGTCTTGGGTAGCAAACTCTCATGGGCGTTTTGAGGTGAGGTCCTTCTTCAAGTGTCTCTCATTTGATCCTGATATTCGTTTTCCTTGGAAGTCTGTTTGGCGCTCTAAGGCTCCTCTCAAGGTGGCTTTCTTTGTGTGGTCTTCGGTTTTGGGAAAGATCCTAACCCAGGATAATTTGCGAAGAAGAAGCCAAGTGGTGATCAATCGTTGTTTTATGTGCCTTCGTAATGAGGAATCAGTGGATCACCTTCTCATTCATTGCTATGTGGCTAGAGAGTGTTGGGATTTGATGCTTGGCTTATTTGGGCTTTTTTGGGTTATGCCTAGATCTACAAGAGGGTTGATTGAGGCTTGGAGAGGTTGCCCTGTGGGGACTCACAGTCAGGATGCGTGGAGGGCTACGCTGCTTTGTGTATGGTGGTGCATTTGGCTTGAAAGGAATAGGAGATATTTTGAAGGAAAGGCGATGTCGATTTCGGTGCTTAAATTCTCGATTATTTCCACTCTTTTTTGTTGGGTTTTAGGGAGAGATCATAGATCTTTGGAGGAAATTGTTGATTTTTTGGCCTCTTTGAAGGATTGAGTGGCTTTTTGTATCGTTCTTGGGTTCCGCTCCCCCTTGGAGTGTTTTTTTATAAAATTTTTTATTTATCAAAAAAAAAAATAAAGAGAGAAAAGTGACCAAAAAAAAAAAATGATACATCATGCGTATACACACATATATATATATATATGGTTCAAGTGCAAAAAACACCCCTATAGTATGCTTACAATGCATATTGCACCCCTCTCGTGCAAAAAACACCCCTAAACTATGATATTTGTGCAAATAAGTCCTATTTATAAAAATTGGACTAAAATACCCTTCGCAACAAATTTTATATAATATATTAAAAAATATATATTTTGTGAAATGATTAAAATATCCCTCAATTTATTGTAAATTTACAATATATATATATATATATATATATACATACATATATACACATATATACACGGGCATATATATAGCAGGTCTCGGTAGAGCCAGCAGGATGGAGAACTCGTCGAGCATGGAGAGAGTTACATGGTGGGTCACTTTCTGGTCAATGAGCTCCGACGGGATAGAGAACTCGTTGAGCATGGAGAGAGGTATGGCGCCAAATATATCCCTGGGACGATGAACCGTCCACGATAAGCCCTCCTTCTTCCCAACCTCTTCCCACAAAATATCTTCCAGGGTATAGTAAAAATTGGGTGCATCTAGCCTAGGAAAATCCTCATGAAACGGAGGGTCATGGGGTTGAAATTTGCCCCACAGTTCAAACGGACCTACGTAATGCTTTTGACCCGTTTGAAGGCAAATGTGCTGCAAAATTGGGGAATTAGGTATCACTGCATTGAGCACATTTCTCAACATTTTTCCATTCACTTCGCAACTTTTGATTTCAATGGATCGATTGGCCCAAGTTACATGGAAGATGTGAGTGATGTCTTGGAGGGTTGAGAGCTTGGATTAGGTTTCTTCGGGGTCTGAGACATCACACCGGATGTATTCGACGGGGTGATCAGCGTTCCAAGCCGGGCGTGGGCGGCGGGTGATGCCGTAGACCTTCCATGGGCCGCCAGGGGTGTCAGAGAGAGGGAGGATCTCGGCGAGGCTATTGCCGACGATGTGAGTCACGCCGACGCTTTGGTACTCTAGTGCCGCATCGTCGTGTTCCAATTTCTTCTGTAATTATATGATTGGAATGTGGTAATGGATTAGATCGATTTGTTAGTGCGAAAAACAATATTGGATTTGTTAGTATGAAAAATAATATTGGCGACGCGATGGCTGAGTCGAATTTGTCAATTTTGGGTTTGTTAGTTGTGCTTCCAGGTACAACACTCGACGGCAATTTGAGAGACCCACGTTTTTCTTCTTCTTCCCTAACCACAAGTTCCAAAACACCATCAACAACGCATACCTCTCCGGCAGCCTCTTCCCGACCGTCCACAACCTCCACCTCTAAGACCTTGGCATTAACAAGATCTGTTTGGTAGGAGTATTTTTGGAAGAGTAAAAAGGTAAAATAGGCATTATATTAATTAAGGAGTGTTTTCGCACAAATTGTAAAGAATAGGAGTGTTTTTTTGCATATCTTTTAAATAGGGGGTAAAAATGCTATGAAAAGTATACTTTTAGGTTGTTTATTGCACTTACCCCATATATATATAAATATATATCGTGTATATCGCTCCATTCGCCTACGGATTTTGCTACACCTCGTCTTGGTCTCTTCTGAAATTAGCCAGAATGTTGAAATTCAAGAAATCAAAATTCAATTTTCAATTTAGGGATTGGGGCTGTACTGTAACGACGTTCTAGTTCTAAAATGAAATTGTTCTAAACGTTTTCTGATTTGGGTCGTTAAAATTCTTAGGTAACGATCTTCTGAAACTGTTGCTTTCACAAGATCGCACCGAGCTGAAACTTTGAAGCTCGCCGAAGCAGTTTGAACTCTGCACCTCGTCGGTATTGTTGGTGAAGAATTTGTGTTGTTCGCTGAAAATATGAATGTGCGTGAAGTCAGGTTCACTGCTCTCAATCTTCAGTCGTCGTTTTAGCAGTGACCCTTCTATCTTAGATCACGCCGGTAGCGAGACCTTATTCTCCTTCAACCAGGTCTCCGACAGCGACCTGGTATCTCCCATGGACAGCAACATTACGTTGCTGTCCTCCTTAGCACCACGATGAGAACCAGGTCACAAAAACAACTTGGTCATACTCTTTCACGGCAACACAAAAATCACCGTGGTGTTCCGATCAAGGTCGTCGCCAGAGTTCATGGTTTTGACACTTCTGGGTTTTGGCTCTCGTTTTGGTGTAGAGATGAAGCTCTGTTTTTCGGTCTTCAATGGAGACAGGAAAGAGAGAGAAAGTTGGGTTGAGTGCACAATAATCGGTATAATAGAGGGGGGTAGTGTGGTCATTTAATTTAAGTATGATACTCACGGGACAGGCACGCCCAATTTAACGGCCAAAAACAATCTTCTGGTGGCCGGATTGGGTAAATTTCCACCAAACCCACTAAGTTCAGGGGGTAAAATGCATTTACTTAAAGGGGTTATTTGCTCTTAAGATCATTGAAGGAGATTTATTGCACTTCACCTTTAAAAAAAAAATAACAAAAAATAAAGTCAATAGGTTAGGGTTTGATTTCCACCAAGAGGCTTTTCCACAACACTTCCAATTGAACCAAATCACTATCAATAACAAAATAAAAAATTATACAAATTTAGAGAATTTTCAATAGTAAATTTGACTTAAATGCAGCTTTATTGAACGAATTCGAACCAAAATGAGAGATATCCTTGGACAGTCTTTGTAGAAGATTTTCCGGAATCAAAGAGTGACCGGGAAACCATACGGAAACAAAAAGAAAAGTGAAAAATATATAAATAAATAAGCAAAATCTTGGGAAAAGAAGAACTGAAATGGTTTAAATAATTGATTTAATTATTAAAAGAAAATTTGAAAGTGGTCTCAAAATTGCTTCGTTTGTGCATAATTTAATCTTCAGAGACCCAATAAAGAAGGGAAAAAAAAGGTGATACTTATGTAAGCCGAAGGTTCTGACAAATTACCAATAGTATACTGATCAACTCCTTTTTCTTTTGTGATCTTCATTCTTGAAGAAATCCAAAAGTAAGTCATGAATATGTGCATATATAGGGAGAGAAAGAGGAGAGAGAAACAGAGTAAAAAGGGGTTTGATCTTACACCTTCAATGAAGCCTTTGTTGAAGAGGACTGTCGTACTGTTGTTTGTCCCAAGCTTTAGGCTGAACTTGAAATAGCCGCAAAGGCAAAGATTTTGAGAACTAGGGTTTGAATCACCACTAGATAAAATTAGGGTTCTTGGCCAAGTGTGTGTGTGTGTGTGATTGAAATCTTCAAGCATGAAAAATATTGCAAACCTTGTACTTTCACCTTTCTTGTGAACTAGTTGCCTTAAAGTAATGAGGAAGGGAAAAGTTTGTTCACTTTGTTGTGAAAGTCAATTCTATGTCGGGTAAATAATTTATTTCTTTGCACCAATTATATGTACTTACGGGTGTAAGAAGAGGAAAATATGGAGATGCAGTGTATTGGCGTGAGAAATGAACAAGAGATGAGGATAAGGTCAATAGAGAAGAAGGAAATATTGGAGATGCAGTGTATTGGCGTGAGAAGTGAACAAGAGATGAGGACAAGGTCAATAGAGAAGAAGGAAAATATGGAGATGCATTGTATTGGCGTGAGAAGTGAACAAGAGATGAGGAAAAGGTCAATAGAGAAGAAAAATATGGAGATGCAGTGCATTGGCGTGAGAAGTGAACAGGAGATGAGGTAAAGGTCAATAGAGCGTGGGGTAAGGCCATCCGCAGTGGGCTCGCGGAAGGCCCTTTCCGCGAGCCAAACCAATTTTCTCTCCTCCAGCGGGCTTGTGAAAATGGTAGGGCCCAGATTACGCTCGCAGACCGGCTCGCGGTATTCAGCTAACCGGTCCGCGATCGTGATAATTATTTTTTTGTTTCTTCTGGTTTGAAACAGCACCCTTTGGGCTGCCTTTTTTTGTCCAAATGCAAGGCAGTTTTCAAACAGTGCCTTGGCAGATTTTTTTTTTTTTAAAAATCTTAAAATAGTTTATTTAGAGCTTTTTTTTTTGGGAAAAAAATAAAATTAAATTCATTAAATAAAAAACATATTGTTTAGGCATTGTTTGCTCAAAAAAAAAAAAAAAAAAAAAAAATTGGGCCAAAAATATATTAAAAAAACTTTTTTTTTTTATTTATGCCGTTAAAATTTGTTTTTTTTTTAAATTTTTTGCTTTAAATTTTAAATTTGTAGGCCAAATAGTGTATTTGGCCATTAAGACACTATTTCTACAGTACCAAACTGTGCCTTAACGGCTATAATTTTAAAAAAAGGTTTAAAAATTCAAATTTTACCTTTTTTCCCTTAAAATTTGGTTTTTTTTAAATTTTTTTGCGTTAAATTTTAAATGAGTAGGCCAAATAGTATATTTGGCCGTTAAGGCACTATTTCTACTGTACCAAACAGTGCCTTAACGGCTATAATTTTAAAAAAAAAGTTTAAAAATTCAAATTTTATAACTTTATTAAAAAAAAAAATTAAATTAAAATTTTTAAAATCTCTATAAATACCCCAACTCCTACCATCACTCATCACATCTCTATTATCTACCATTCAACTTATTTTTTCTTCTATTTTCTCAATCTTAGATATTATTTTCAGAGTCATTTCGATTCCATGGATCCTCGACATCCATATTATTACAATACCCAATTCAACCCATCAAACGATGAGTTTTTGCCATTTCCCGAAGAGAATATCAATTTTCATGGAGAAGATTCTCAATTTCTTTCTCATCAACCATCCCAACCTTGTTATCAACCATCCCAACCTTCTCATCAATATTGTGGTACTAGTGTTCCACAATCAAGTAATTCAAAACCCCTGTCAAAACAACCGTCTACCCGACCTAATAATTGGACCAAGGCTGAAGATGAAGCTTTATGTTGGGCGTGGTTGTCCATTACCTCTGATGCGATTACGGGGGCAGACCAAAGTAAAAAGAAGTTATGGGAGCGAATTCTGGAACAATATATACAACATATTGGTGTTCCTCCAACTGAGCGAAATGATATAGCTTTGATGAATCATTGGTCGGTGATCCAACAAAAAATTAGCAAATTTTCCGACTGCATGACTACCATAGAAATGAATCGTCCCAGCGGCTTCAGCAGTGATGATATGGTGAGTTATTTATTGTTTAAATATAACTCGTAAATATTTTAAATAGTCGGCTTTTAATTTTTTGTTATTTTTTTCGTTTAGATGATAGCAGCTAAAGACCTATTTCGTAGCCAAACGGGTGGTCAATTTAAGTTAGAAAGTTGTTGGGAGATCTTGAAGCATAACAATAAATGGAATTCACATTGTGCCGAACAAGTAGGAAAAGGAAAAAAGAAAAAAGAGCCGAAGAAGAGGAGTGGATTTGACTTTGACATAAATGAGTCTGTTGGGCAGTCATTACTATCTACTCCGTCAAGTCATGCAGCCACGACAGATGGAGCTTCAACTGAAGAATCACCACACATAGGGGAAAATGATTCACCCGGTGTGGAAGAATATCAATTACAAAGACCAGCAGGAAGAAAAGCGGCGAAGCAGCGTCGAGCAAAAATTAATTCAGCGAATAAATTGCAAACGTCATTCGTTTCGAAATTTAATAATATCACCACCCGTTTTGAGAGTCGTCAGGAGAAAATGCAGGATGCCCAAATGGCACGAGAGGTAAGGAAAATGGAGAAAGAGAAGACAAAGGCAGCTAGAGATTAAAGAGAAACAGAGACTTGAAGAGAAGGAGCTTATGTTAACAAATCCAAATTCGGCACCAACAGAAGCGGGGAAAGCTTGGGTTATTGCACGACAAAATGAGATATTGGCATCTTTGAATTCACGGTCCGCCCCAAAGTTCCCATAGGATTTTGTAATCCTTAGCCTATTTATTTTCTTATTCCAATTTAGGATATTGTATTATTTAAGTTATTTTTAATTATTTTATTTTTTTTTTATTTTTTATTTTAATCCATAATGGATAATGTACTATTTCAAGTTCTAATATCAATTGTAGTTTTTTTAATAATTTACAAAAATATTATTCGATTGAAAAATATTGCCGTTGAACAAATATAGCCATTGCAAATATAGCCGTTTAGGAAAAGCTTAAAAAAATAAATTAATTAATTAATTAATTAATATTAATATTAATATTAATTTTTATTATTATTATTTTTTTTTAGAGCGAAAATTCGGAGAGCCTGATGGAGTACATGTTTCTGGAGAGCAAAAACTGCTGACGTGGCTCTTGGAACTACTGATGTGGCTCTTGGAAAAGCTGAGGTGGCGTTTTTAGAGAGCCAAAATGCGGAGAGGCTGGTGCAGATGGCCTAAGAAGAAGAAAAATATGGAGATTGAGTGTAGGGGCATGAAAAGTGAACAAGAGATGGCGGAAAAGGACAATAGAGAGTGAGTGAAAATCTGCACATGAATTGTGTTGATTCTACACACCTAAAAGTGAGTAAAAATCACCTTCGAAATAGTGTGTCATTTATTCCATTTTAAAATAAGTGGTCCAAAAATGACTACGCGTTGTTTCATATGTTTTGAGTGATGTTTCTGTATATCTTGAGAAAACTCTAACAATGTACTTTGGATCTTATCGTGACTTAACTGTAATCATAGGTTAAATATTATGAATTTGGAAGCAGTTTTAATGGCTTGCTTGGATTTCTTGAAGAATTTTGAAAAAATATTGGGATACACCTGATAAAAATGTTGGAATGTACTTTTACTTACAAAAATGGAGGAAATAGACTACTATGCAACTTGAGGTTATCCTTGTCCCCTAAAAGAGAAGAAATAATAGAAAACTCCTCTATCTTCTCGTTCTTTCTCATCTCTTGTATTTTAGACTTCTTACTCTATATTTGTTCTATATTTAGCTGAGAAGAAAATATTATTTTTCTTTCTCACTTCAAAGGGTAAGAAAAATAATCAATTATATTAAAAGAAAAATAATTATTTATATTAAACTGTTCTTGTTCATACTTTATAAATAATTAAAATTGTTGAGCCTGAAGTATCACAAATACTTATTTATTTATTTATATTATAATATTTTAGTTCATTCTTTACAGAAAAATAAGCCCTAAGTCTCCTAAATACTAAATTATTTATATTTAATGATTTTTGCAAACCCGAAGTTTTGCATATATTAATATACTCTTCATGAGCATGAAGTTTCACGAATATTTAGTACTCTTTGCGAACTCGAAGTTTCGCAAAACTTGTTAGCCTGAAGTCTAACGAATCCAAAGTTCCGCAAAATTTGTTAGCTTGGAGTCCAAGTGAACCTGAAGTTCTTTGAGCTGAAGTCATCTACACTGAGTACCCTTGCAAACCTGAAGTTTTGCAAAATGTAGAAATATAAATTATATACTATTTAACGAATTACATGCCTTTATTACACATTTTGACTTTATTTATATATACAAACAGAAGTACATGCCTTTATATATATATATATATATACATGTTCACATTTTAACTTTTTGTATGTTTAAATTTTATTACACTTTTGACTATTTGTTGACGCTAAAATCGGCTCCTTAGATCCGATTTGGAATTGATGTGATACGGCGTGCCAAAACCAACTATATAGTTCGAGTGTGAGTTGTCAACTTGCAGTCTCTTTAAGAATATTGACTATCAGGCGATTACAGGAGAAAGAGAACAAGTATACTCCTTAATGAGTTCTAATTGCCTTAATTAAAAGGACTTTTCAGTGAATAATTTATAGTAATAATTAAGAAAATAGAAAGGGGAGAGAAATAGTATAGAAAGAAGAGAGAGAGAAAGATTTAGAGGGAGAAAGATAGAACAAGAATAAAAGAGATAGGGATAGAGAAAGATAGCAAGGATGTTATTCTAGGAAAGTGCTTAAGAAAATAAACAAATAAATTAAAGATTCTGAGGGTGCTGGACCTCTATCGCAGCATGCCTCTTTGTTTATTTATAGAATAATTCGTAAAACAAATACCTGTAAACAAGCATCCTAATTACATTACAACTCTATCACATAACTAACTATAAATTCAAAATACATTAATCCTAGAGATAACCCATAACTATGTAACTGAGATCCACTAAAAGATAAATATTGAATATACTATCCATATCCAGTATTTAATTCAAATATGTCTTCCACTTTTGTATGCAATTTGAATCCATGTAAAAATATAACCTTATTTCAATTCAAACTATTGTTGCGTCAATGCCCATGTATTTGCCGAATATTCCATTTCAGTTCAAGCTTACTGCCACGTCACCTCCTAGTTATTGCCCACAAAATTTACCAAAAAGGGTGTCAACAATACCCCCCAATTTTAAATGTCTTATCGGCTGTCAGCCACCCAAGCCGATAAGATATTTGAAATTTAAAGTACATTGGAAAGAAATTTTGTACAAAAGTTGTGCTGGTCACTTGGAATCAGATTGCAAATCAACGAACTCCAAAGCTTTATTTCTTCTGAATCACCTTAAAGATGACCTTTATTTCATATTAGCCAAATCTGCCGATTTAGGTTTCTTCCTAGATTTTTAGATAGTTTGCTGATATTTCCAGCCCATAAACCAATAAAGGACTTGCCTTGCCCCCCATGCATTTTCCAACTCCGCTAGCAAATTATGATCATGATCGGCAGAAATTAAATTATTATGAAACGTAATTTTAG